CAACATATATATCATTCGATGCGGATTGACGAGAGGATCACGATGATGCCCTTAGTTTGTTCCTATCTTGACTAATTCGAAAGTTATTCGAGAAAAAACTCTCTCCATATCTAGCGCCGCCATTTTGACTTTTTCGACCCCTGTGACGTCATATTTGACCTGACCTGAAAATGACCTTAGTAAAAATTGTAGATCTTGACCGTGCGTATCCGATGCCGTTTACCGCTTGTCGCTATCTTGCTTCGTTCTCGAGATCTCAGGGGGGGGGGCGGTCATCCGCCCCCCCCGTCGGTCCGAAGTTGGCGCAGACCCCCGTCGGTGCGCGGGTTAATATTAAGATATTATCATTTTGTAGAGGTTGGGCAAAACCTGACCACTACTGGGGCATTCCTTGACTCTACTGGGGCATTTGCCCCAGTAGTTAACATGTTAGCCGAGGCCCTGGGTCTTTCATAAACACAAGAGCATGATAAATTCATTTCAAATTTGAGAATGGAAGACGAATAACGTTGTTTATACATACTACATATTTTACACTCCTATCTTGTTGTGATCTACGTGCTTTTACATAATTTTACCTTTCTCTTACTGAATGCTATTTATTTCACTTCCCATTTCAGAATTGCTAAGGAAGCCATCTCGGAGACATACAACAACTCACACTATTTCGACATCATTTACGTGGTTTTTGTTTGGATTTGCTTTCTCACAAGCTGCACAACTCCGGCCTTGATGCTGGTCTGGCACAAACGAAGGTACGTCTAAATGAGAAAGAAATGTAGACATGCAGCCGTACGCTGTTTCATTGCTTTAGACTTATTTTGCAAGGTGCAGGTCGTATGACTATGTTTCACCCATCTTGGACAATTGTCGAAACATCTGTTATGTATTGAGCGGTACTGCTTACGTATATGCATAAGGTGTAGACTGTTAGTGTTGTCTGTTATAAATCCATATACCTATCCCTATATCAAACTTGTTATTTATTTTTATCGTTAAAATCAAGCGATCAACTAGACAAAACGAGTTTAATGAAAAGTATTGCGTAGTGCCCCAAAGACAACTTCTGCATGACGTGTCTTTTAGGTAATATGCAGCCATAAAACAATATTTGATTGGTAGCAGAAGTATAAAACAAGACCGAATTGTCTGACTGCAGCGCTGGCAGCCGCCCATTGACTAACGGGGACAGCCAGCAGGATGTGATCAAGGCCATAGTCGAGAGCCGATCTCTTGTCGTGCTGTATGTTGTTGACAGACTGACTGATGGATCGCCTATTCCGTGGTAACATATGAACGACAAAACAAATGACAGCCAGAAAATGGAACATAAGTAATGGCAATACGTAGCTGGGAGTTCTATGCTTAAAGGGACCCTCCCACCTTCAAAAAAGTTAATGAATTGGCATGAAAGTGATGTCGCTCGGTTCAGAAAGAGCAAAAACGAATATCTACCAAATTTCATCGAAAAATATTTACCGGTTTTCAAGATATTAGACTTTTACTTTTGTTTACTTTTTGGGATCTCCGCTGTTCCTAGCGACTTTATTTGAAAGTGCGGCATTTTTTGCGCGCAAAGCAGCATATACCACCGCGTGCTACAAAACGTTTTAGTCAAATTAATGACGGACGTTCGAAAGCCTGATGACGTCATCAGATTCCCGTAATGGTTAAGAGATAGGGATCACGCTGGTCCCACCCTGCAAGTAAAGGGAAGAAATTTCTTGAACACCATAAAGCTGCGGGGGTTGCGACCAGGATAAATGGTGGTTTCTGAGCCTGGCCGCAAACTTGGCTATCTCAACTCAAAACTAATGTTAAGGTGGGAGGGTCCCTTTAAGGCTCGCGGTTGTCTGCTGAGGCCTGAACTGTTGTGTAGAAGTTGTTTGTGTGTAGGAATTGGATGCAGCAGAGGTTGTAGCATTATGTAAGCTCAGTCGAACCGAGACCCACACGTTTGACTCTATGTGTGATCACCAACTAACGATGTACGTTCGTTGCGCAGTGGAGACCCCAAGTTGAGCCTGCGGACGCCGGCGGGGCGTGGCTCAAGGGACGGCCAGCCGGGCCTGCTGGGGACGTCCCAGCGCGAGCGGCGCAAGCACAGCGTCGCCGGCGTCAGCGTGCAGCTGCTGCAGCTGGTGGTTCCCGGCGCCGACACCGGCTACCGGCTGGCCGGGGAGGACTGAGGCGGGATCCGACCGTACCCACTGCCGCGGGGAGGACTGAGGTCCGAGGACTGACACCGGCTACCCATCGGCCCGCGAGATCTGACGTAAAGGTCCGCCCGATGGCGTCGTCCCGTGCCGTCATTTATAGCTGTGTGTCAACAGTGTGGGCTGACGTCGATATTGTCTGAGACATTTTTGTTAGCTAGTGCTACCGATAGCCGCTGGATCCAGCATTGTTTATTGGTATCACCCGGAGATAATTGTCTGCTGACGTCCAATTGTCTGCTTTTAAACTTTGAAGCCCGGTGGCTGGCATCACCATCATCAGCTTGGTGGAACCCATTGACACCTCTGTCTGCTGGTGTCAGCATCATCTGCTTTTGTAGCCCGCGGTGTCACCATTATCTGCTGGTAATAGCCGGAGATAATTGTCTGGGGATGTCCAATTTCAAGCGTGGCATCACCATTATCAGCTAGGTAGAGCCCACTGACACCTCTGTCTGCTGGTGTCAGCATTGTCTGTATTTGTATAGCCTGATGTTACTATTATCTGCTGGTGAAACCCGTTGGATCCTCTGTCTGCTGGAGTTGCCAGGCGATTAGCTACTGTTTGCTTATTTGCTTATTTGGCAGTTGATTACTATTTGCTTATCTGACCACCGGCTGTTGGTGTTGGTGTACCCGCCGTTTCCACTGTCTGCTGGTGTCACCTTTGTCTGCTGGTGCTACCTTTATTGGCTGGTGTCACCACTGTCTGCTGGTGTCATCATTGTCTGCTGGCGTCACTCAGTGACCACTGTCTGCGGGTGTGTCACTGTCTGCTGGTGTGTCACCCAGTGACCACTGTCTGCTGGAGTGTCACTGTCTGCTGGTGTGTCACCCAGTGACCAACCACTGTCTGCTGGTGTGTCACCCAGTGACCACTGTCTGCTGGAGTGTCACTGTCTGCTGGTGTGTCACCCAGTGACCAACCACTGTCTGCTGGTGTGTCACCCAGTGACCACTGTCTGCTGGAGTGTCACTGTCTGCTGGTGTGTCACCCAGTGACCAACCACTGTCTGCTGGTGTGTCACCCAGTGACCACTGTCTGCTGGAGTGTCACTGTCTGCTGGTGTGTCACCCAGTGACCAACCACTGTCTGCTGGTGTGTCACCCAGTGACCACTGTCTGCTGGAGTGTCACTGTCTGCTGGTGTGTCACCCAGTGACAACTGTCAGCTGGTATGTCACCCAGTGACAACTGTCTGCTGGTGACGGCTGTTCGTTTGCGCTGACAGCGGTCGCTGTCCGCCGTCACCTGCTGTGGTAAGTTACATGAGCGGTGTCGGCTGACTGATGGTATGTATATGTAGTTACACACGTCGACCACGGAGCCCGCTGGGACGGGACAGAGCTCGGCCTCCCCTCCGGAGCAGACCGGTCTGCCGGGAGCAGCGGGGTGGGTTGCCGTCCGCGCCGCGCCGTCCGAATCAGGCCACCGCTGGACAGACGGCGCGCTCTCTCTGAATCATGGCGCCGTCACCCGTCCCGATAACAGCGGGCTGACGGCGCCGACCCGGTGCTGAGGCACCATGAGTGGCATGGTTTCAGAGAAGGGTGTGGTAATTTTTTGGGTCCGGACAAGGTGTCTCAGTCGGGAAACGTAATGTCGTGCAGGTGTGATGCTTACGCAACATTCTGGCGCTAAAGAAACACTCTAAAATGCGCCAAGTTATAGCGCTCAACTGCTGTCACTCTTATAAAGAAGCCGAGGTCGCGTGCTCTAGCAGCTTAGTGTGATGATATTTGATAATACAACTTCCAAATCACAAATTTTTCTTTCATTTCTCACGAATGGTTCGCAATTTTTCGTTTTTGACGCGATGACGCCCTTGCCGTTCTGAGATCGTCACACGAGTACCTGTCAGGGAGTCGCTCCCGGATGGAGCAGGCTGGGCAGCGGCTGCGGTCCCGGACGCCGCACCGGCCGGCCGCGCCAGCAGTGACGGACTTCCCAGCCGTGCCCAGGTGCGGCGGCGGGCCCAGTCGGCCGGAAAGCTGTCGCCGACGTCAGACCGCATGCTCGGCGGTCCGGTGAAATGCGGCGCCGCGGTGGCGCCCGGTGCCGACCTGCCGGGCCACTCAGTCACCCCGGCCGACAGCCGACACCGCGGCCGACCTCGCCACCGTCCGCCCCGGCCCCGCCGTATCCGCCCACTGTCCGCCCCAGCCCCGCCGTCTCCGTCCACCGTCCGCCCCAACCCGCCGTCTCCGTCCACTGCCCAGTGTCCGCCCCAGCCCGCGCCGTACCCGCCCACTGTCCGCCCCAGCCCCGCCGTCTCCGTCCACCGTCCGCCCCAACCCGCCGTCTCCGTCCACTGCCCAGTGTCCGCCCCAGCCCCGCCGTCTCCGTCCACTGTCCGCCCCAGCCCGCCGTATCCGTTCACTGCCCAGTGTCCGCCCCAGCCCGCCGTCTCCGTCCACTGTCCGCCCCAGCCCGCCGTCTCCGTTCACTGTCCGCCTCTGGGTTCGCCGTCTCCGTCCGCTGTCCGCCTCTGGGCTCGCCGTATCCGTCCACTGTCCGCCTCTGGGCTCGCCGTCTCTGTCCAGGGTCCGCCTTTGCCCCTCTGCCCCTGCTCCCCTCCCCACTGCTCCTGCTCACCTTCCCGGCCCCTCCGCCTACCCCTCCACCACTGTGCCACCATAGCGTCGAGTGCATGCTACTTCTTACCGTCGAGGTCGTCGTGGTCTCTGCTTTGTCGTGTCTACACAACTTTCTTGGCAGCACCTTTACCTAACAACACATCATTATGAGTTATGACAGCATCATTCAACACAGCAAAACTTCGTCTCCTCAGAAGGGCTAACCCCATTTACACTCAATGTATTGATCCTCCTATGCATACAATAATGCAACAGGCATCGATATGTTCAATGAGCTCAACTCTCTCACTCCAATAACTTCGGAGAAATTTTGTACAGATGAAAGTCAAATGATGTTTCTATGCTGTCGCTTAGCTTATCTAGGATAATTATATTTCGGACATCTCGGAGTCCTTTCTCTCCATGATTTGCTGTCACCTGACCGGTGACCCAACCCGCATCATCGTCCTGCTGTCGACTAGGTAGTCTCCGCCCCCTCGCCCTGTCACCACTCCTCACGGGGCGTCTCACACAGCAGGTCAGCCCTGACCCGTCCCTCCGGAGCGACTTCAACAAAACACAACACGGGTCGGCGCCGTGCCGCGCGGCCGCCCGAGGGAGCCTCACGGTAGCCGGAAGCCGCTGGGCCTCATCTTGATCTCTATGCTGGGCAGTGAGTAGTGGTAGCCGCGCCAGAAGCGCCAGTTGACGCCGTCGGCGTAGCTGCCGTGCGGGCCGCGCAGGTAGAGGCCGTTCGGGTTGGCGTTGTGACACGCGTCGTACCACCAGCCGCCCTTGTAGAGCTCGGCGCAGTTGCCAGCCGTGTACTGGTCGTTGTCGACGTCGCGCGTGGTGAAGCCGACGCCGTTGGCGCGGCTGAGGCCGTCGCCGGCCGTGCCCGAGTAGGGGCCGACCGTGAGCCGGTACTGGTCCGTCTCCGGGCTCACCGAGAAGCCGCTGTACTCGGCGTAGCGCTGGTTGCCCTCCAGGTCGGCCATGTCCAGGCGCAGCGTGATGTCGCGCTGCCAGGTGAGCTGGTGGATCAGCTCGTTGCCCAGCCAGAACTCGCCGCTGCGGTTGCCGAAGCCGCGCCGGTACTCGGCCCAGCCGCGGAAGAAGTCGATGTGCGCGCTGAGGTCGGCGCGCCGCTGCAGCACCGTCCAGCCGCCGCCGGCCGTCGTCATGTCGCAGTAGACGGAGACGAGCCGCGCACTGCCCAAGTCCGGACGGATGGCGTACACGCCGCTGGCCGTGAAGCCCTGGCGGCGCAGGTCGGCGCAGTCGCGCGCCGGGCCGGCGCACGGCAGCCGCGCGGCCGCCTGCGACTGGTTGGCCACCATGCTGAGCAGGGCCGCGCTGCGCTCCTGGCCGGCCGTCAGCGCCGCCAGCTGCCGCCGAGAGCGGTTCGCGTAGCGCGCGAACGAGTCGCTCAGCAGCGCCAGCCGCATGTCCGGGTCAGCCGGCGGGGCGGCCGTGCCGCGCACCATGGTCGTCATGTTGCGGCCCAGCGCGGCCACCGTGGCCGTGATGTTGTTGAGATGCTGTCGCACCGTCTGCTGCGTGCCGATCGTGATCTCGGCGATATCGACCACCGACTTGAGCAGCGCGTCGTACTGGCGCTGCACGTCCTGCTGCAGCGCGCGAAGCTGCTCCACGCAGGTGCACTGGCCGCCCTGCTGGCGCATCGCCTCCGTCATCTCGGCCACCTTGGTCTGGACGGTGTCGCGCGTGTCCTGTAGCTGGGACGAGATGTCCTCCTTGGTGTCTTTCAGCTGCAGACTCAGCTCGTCCGCTACCGACTGCAGGCTCACCCCCTAAAACGGACGGAGCAGAGGTCAGCACATGACGCCAAAAACGCCCCCAACGATCCCCGAAGCCATGACTCAGAAGACAGTGCATCATCAGGAGCACCCCGAACACTCCTAAACGGCAAATAGAGTTGAGAATGACATTACAGAACACCAAACTGACGTCCCAAGAATTAACCATTTAGCTGTAAGACGTTGATTGAAGCTGCAAGCTTCATCAACGGTTAGCAGGTGACGTGCTTATTTGACTATCAAAATTCTGAAATCAATAGCTCTGTCCGTATTATCTTACTTATGAGCTTAGTGATGACAGTGAGAGTTATATGATAAAGCACTCTTATTTCCCGGCTAAATCTATGCCTGCTTTCCACCTCTCAGTGATGGAACTTCGAATGAAACTGATATAAATCTGGTTAGAAGCATTGTTCAAGTGTTTTTATCAGTTTTAGTTAGGGACTGGGGTGTCCAGCATTGCTAAAAAGAGGTCATCGCTTAGTGTGAAACATCAAGGATTGGCCAATCGTCCGATCACACCATCCTCGGCCTGTTAATCGGTAGCGGGCATGAGTTTCCATCGAAAGTGTGACGTATAACGTCCAATAGGGAGACGGTATTAAAACTCTCACTTCATATTTCCGTGTGACGCTAACTGCGTACGTATGTACAGGTCTCGCGGGTTTTAGGGGTAGGTTTTGCACCTAGAAAATTTAGTGTACTTCAGGCTATATCTTCGTCGTCTTAAGCTTTTAAGTGTTGAAGATGCGATCGACTTGTTGGGTTACAAGCCGGCCATGATCGTGTAAAATGGCTTCATCGTAGATCGATTAGTTTCTGAGATATAACCGGAAATGTAAAAGTGCAAAACCTACCGCTTAATCTCGCGAGACCTGTACCTATAAAATGAAAGCAATTTACCGCGCGCCTCAGCAACTGAATCGATATATCCACTAAGCTAACCTCAAGTTACTACTAGGATTAACACCTGTCGACTGTATCTCAAATAAATTGGGTCACGAGAAACCTTCCATGAATGACTTATGTTGTAATTCAATCAATGGAACGAGAACAGTGAACACTCTTATTGTGAATTCTTGATGATTATAATGAGTTGCTGCTGACTTAAATAGCAACGATTTAAATACAGGTCACAACGTGCTATCTTATGACGAACAAGCGTTGAACGCAGGCCATCGAAGTTTTTGTATGAAACCGGAACAGTTAATGACAGCAAAGCGGGTATTGTACATACTTTGTACATGGCTACGGGGCATTGAACTGAAATGGCGATTTTATTTTCGTCATGGCGTCGTGAAAACGGCTAATAGGTATATTTTATATAAAAATACCACATATTTTAGACTAAACGAAATGTCTTCTACACGTTTAATAGTTTGTTAATCGTCTAGACGTTTAACAAATTAGTAACACGACATCTGATAATTTTCCCTCTTTGCACGTGAAGCAATTGTAAACACTGTCTACGGTGCGGGATAATGATTAATTATCCCGCACCGAAACTGTGTTTACAATTGCTTCACGTGCAAAGCGAAAAAATTATCAGATGTCGTGTACCTGATTTGTTAAACGTCTAGACGAAACTTAAACACTGTCTTCGGTGCGGGATAATAATTGTTATCCCGCACCGTAGACTGTGTTTACAATTGCTTCACGTGCAAAGCGAGAAAATTATCAGAAGTCTTGTAACTGATTTGAACGTCTAGACAATTAACAAACTGTTAAGCGTCTAGTAGACATTTCATCTAGTCTGAAACAAGTCGTATTTTTTAAATGAAATGTATTTTTACCTTTAAGCGCCCGAAAGATGTCGGCGGTACGGGATAAAATTATTAAACCGCTCGTAGGTAGAAAATCCTTTAAATGTCTCGCCTATCGGCTTGACGTTTAAAATATTTGTTCTACCTACATGCGGTTTAATATATATTCATTACATTCATGGTCTATTTGTACTTATCAAATGGTTTCTGAATTTTGCCTTGACATTTACCAGCACCCCACGGCATTAAAAAGTTAACTAATGAGAATTTAAACGAGGGAAAATGGACTACACATATTTAACATCGCAGGGTGCTACATGCTACCGAAATTATGTCGGTACGGGTTACAAATAAGTAAATCAATCGTATGTGAACCAAAACACAACAAACCAAAGACGCTTTGCAGTGTTGTTCTACCTATGCATGCGAGGTTAAACACCCTATTAGAGTATACATATGTTGTTTGTTTTGAGAGACATCGATGCCAACCATTCGTAATTCAATTAAGTGATGTTACACTGAACTAGGCCACATAATTTTAAGCATTTTTTGTACCTCACAGGGCATAGCTAGGTATATGGGTATACGTGTAGTTGCCGTGAATCTTCTACTCATCTCGGCACCATCGCACTGCATCTAGCACTGGGCACCTAATATATCTGTGCAATGCATATGCCGGGCCGGTTTCAGTTTGCGTAAGCCAGTCATCTATAGCTGAGGTGAAACTGACACCACGTATGTTTAACAATGCTGTGATGTTATCAGTTCTAAAGGCCCTGGCACTCTGAAGGGACATGTCAGGCGCAAATATGCAACGCCATGAATTATGCGGCCAAGGCTGCGAGCATCTATGTCACCGTGTCCAGATAATACTATGTATGTGTAATGCTCGAAGTTCTTGCGGAACTCGGTGCTGATTTTTTTTTTTTGAAGTACAGAAAGAATGTTGAGCGCATCCATAATTCAAACTTGTCATTTTAAGATTGCCATGTTCTTAGCAACTATACATTGCTCGGATGGGCTATAAACCTGAGAGCTGTTCCAGCTGAACGTGAGGATTCTGAAGTTGTTTCAACTAATTTTATGCCTATTACCTACCTAAATCGATGTATAGCTGGATAGGTTTATTTACCCTATTAAGGTAGGGTAAACAACTATAAGAGATACATTAACCCTACCCACATAACCTAATCAAAATAGTAGCATTCAAACTCTTAGGATGAAACAAAGTAATTAACTAACGAAAATTTCATTTCATCGAAGTCCACGGTCTCATCAAAGTTGACCGGTAATTTCCCGAGCTAGCATCTGGAGCCTTCAGCTGTTTAACTGAGCCGTTGTTATTGTTAGTGTCGCCGTGTTAACTACGTAATTTGTCTTCTGCAGTTATTTCAATAAAACCCTTAAGCTATTCAAATTTTAAGAGTTAAATAAAAAAATCCATAATTGAAAACTACGCTTCCGCTCTGTGACGGATAAGTCCGTCAGTGACGCAATGCACATTGCAGGAAGCCCTACCCATTACCATTTGCCAGTCCATCGTGGCCTCCTCTCCCCGCCCACAACACGGCCAGCCGCAGCCACTGAGCGTCACGGTTCGGTGCCGAACGTGTTCGGAGCGGCCGAGAGGCTACACCCGCGCGGCGCGCAACCGTCCGAGACGATCGGCTGGCGCACGCGCCGTATCTGTATGCGCCGGCCGCGGCTGAGCAGCGCCGGCTGCGCCAGTGTGCACATCGCCAGTCGATACCATCAGTAAATGTGAGTTCGGTGTCGCCGACCGATCGTCGCAGACGTACGAGCCACTGCTGTCTGCTCATCAGGGGGGCCGCGCGAGTGGAGGCCTCCAGCTCCCGTCAGTCCGTCCCTGAGCTATATAGACAGAGCTATACATTCGCTGAGGCTGAGCACCTATGGACATAACGCAAGTTTGAGCCTCCTACACATCTTGCTTCCTATAAGCATCATTCTGACCATTCTAGTCCAGGCAGTCTACCGCGGCACTGCCAGACAGTGGCACTCTGTATAGGCAGCCTGCAGTCTCCGTCCATCCCGATAGTGGTGTTGACTCTCAGGCCAAAACCTATATAATCCCGTGAAGGAGAGATAGGCCACGGCCGCATGTCAATGGGGACTGAATGGCCCGATGCGATTACCTTGTTATTAGATAGAGGTCTACAAGAAAAAAATAAAAATTAAAGTAAGATAGCAACATTTTCTTGTCACAGATTACTCACATTAAACCGTGCTCAATGAAAACTAGTCTACCCACTGCGATGAAAGATATGCCACATGTCATACCGATTTTGATGGATTATGCAGAATGTAGCCAACCTACAACCACATGACATTTGACAGATTGACTTTTACTTTGAAACGGTAGATTCCCGTGAATACAATCGATGCATGCTATTTGCCGGGGAAGATAGCATGCAGTTCACTCAATGGGATAACCAGTGATGTGTGTCATTGTTTATCCGCGTGAGCGTGACGGGAATACGAGAAGGAGCACTACATAGTACATGACATTGAATTGAAGATTCAGCTACTGCATCAGCCACATACACTAGAAGAAGCAGATAAGATGGCTTGCAAGTGAATCCGGCTATTTTCGCCCTTCACATAGGAACGAGCTGCTCAGGCCCCGGCCCCTGCACGGGAGTCCGGCTTCGGCTCCGCGGCTCCGGCGTTGGTTCCGGCACCGTCTCCGTGATTGGCCCCGGCACCAGCTCTGTTCTGGATCCGGCAACAACCTGGATCCGACCCTAGCTCCAGCCTCGAAGCCTCCGAGTCTGGATCCGACCCTAGCTCCTGCTACATGGCTCCGGCACGTCCGTCGACTTTCTCTGATCATCGCTACAGGATCCGTTAATAATAACCATTGAGAGCATTATTTTGGTTTCGACTCTATGTAGTATTGGTTTAAAGACGATATTTGCGACCACGTTTCGGTTTGAACGCTCACACTTCACATACCTACTGGTTATCAATCCAAAAGCTTTCGCAACTGATTGAAACATTTCAGTTCCAATAGGCTGAATGTTATCCTTTGAAGGATAAGATACCTACCATTGCAATAAAGTCCCTGATAATTTCCACCGGAACGCTGATCGTTGCCGTAAATAAAAGAAAAAACCAAATGGCTTTTATTTTTAGCATCTGAGAGGCTCGATGCGATGGACTACCGCAGCGGGATAGCTGCTATCGCAGAGTTTACGCGATGCAACACCA